ATATACTGTATCATAAAAACTGTTAAAATGTTTTTCCTCCACTTTCTACACATAGTAAAGTGAGAAAATAAAAAAATGTTCAGTACCATATAACAATGTTTTAAATAATACTGGGGAAAAAAAAAAAAAAAGAAACATTTAGAAACATTTCTATGCCAGCACTGAAAATCACGTAGAGACTATTTGATGGGAAAAAACAAACAAAGAATACAAATGGTCTCCTTTAGGGAGACAAAACGTGTTCTTACAAGGGAAAGCACTCAAGTTATCTGAATTTCCAAACAATATGGTCGCATACAAAGCAAAAAGTACCTTCTTAATAAAAATCTATGATACTGTGTAAGACAAAAGACAAACACTCCATTCCTCAAAGCTCCTACAGAAAAGCACATGTAAAATTATTCAAATTAAATCAACAGTAGTAACTCCTGTATTAATACCATATGCAAAGCTAAAGGCTGGCATACTTGGGCAAGCTATTGCTCTGTCTTTGTCTTGATTACTGCTTGCAGAAATGGATTAAATATTTACCCGGGGCTGCCCAATTTTGTTTTATTTCTTTTGCATTCAGTTCAGAGCATACCTACCTGAACCAGTGCTTAGGGGAGTTACACAGCTGTTACTCAAACATGAGCATCAGCAACACTTTTTTCATTCAAAAGTTGTGTTACCATCAAGCTTATATAGGCAGTCCTCTATGAATGAACATAACAACAGTAAATCTTTATTTTATTTTACTTGGATATCTATTGCCACCCAAAATTGTGAGGCAGTCTGTTAGATCCCAGATCTTTTATACTCTGTCTGAAAGCAGATAATACTCCATTTCATTATGCAGTCCTATCCTACAGCTACTTTTTATTTCTACAGCTGTTTCCTAGTAGGTTGCAATACTATGAGCCTAAATCAGTCTTGGAGCTGTACCAGTATAATTAAATTATTTCCTGTCAGGTAGATTCAACACTGTGGAGCCATACCTGTAATTGTCTTAGAGCACAAACACATGTAGGATTTAGGGGTGTTTATTTACAGAGTTGATCTCTTTTCTCATAACTCATTATAAAATATGCATACAGGTTATCTCATAATATATAACAACTGAGTGTATTAAAGCATGGATCTAGTGACCAACCAGTAGTATCCTGTTTTACACAGGTATTTTATTTAAATGGATATTTAATATCCTATCTAGTCAGGGCTGCTTGCAAATGGTGTCCTAACTAGAGCTTATTTTCTTGGGAAATACTTGCCTACTTAGTAGGGGAAAGAGAATTGCTGGTATTGACCGCCCTGCAATTAAGGCGTGTTAGCATTAATAACACTCATTTTTCTTTTGTTATGTATCTCTAAACAATGACAAAAGATCAAAAGAACCTGCCATGTAACCTATACTATAACTTTAAATGGTGTGAACTTTAAAAGTTCAATACAACAAAGTTTGGGTTCTCCTGAGGATCCTCTGCACAAATCTCTTGACACCTAGAGGATCAGGCTCAAAGCTTCACATCAGAACCTCAAGCCTACGCAAAAAGCCGGCCCTCGCTTAGCTAGCCATTTTCCATGCATTATGACACTAACTAGGTCAGTTCACAGGATAGTTTAAGTTACAGATTTTGAAAAAAAAAAAAAAAAAAACAACATAAAACTTCAGCAGACACCTCTGTGCCAGTAACATTCTTGGAATAAACAGGAGCCTATTCCAGACAGAGAGCAGACACAGAACTTTTGTCAGCTTAGTTTACACTGTTCAGAGAAGTGAGGTACCAACTCTGTTGGTAAAAATTCCCATTAGCTATACTTATGTAGGTATATGAGGAACCTTTTCGAACAATTTGTATCTTATCTCAGAATCTCCCAAGAATATACTGTGCAATGCATGGCTTGCTTGACCTTTGAGCAAGTCTGTGACGGAGCAAAGCTATACCCTTAATTCCTTGTGTAATACGTATATTCTGATATATAAATAATATATCTGAATAGATATAGATGTATTTACTCATTCTGATAGATTAGTTTTCTGTCTGATCAGAGTGTTAAAACGATTTATCCCACAGTAATAAAATTGCTGGCCTAACACAAGGAACGTGGCCATGGCCAGAGTACATTTTTGACTTGCAGATCCATGGATAGGATTGGGAAGACTGAAACACTCTCATATGGTAGCAGGCTATAGCTGTAATAAAGTAAGCATGCCATGGATCTGCACCTTAACTCTCTCATTCTGGTGGAAAAACGGTCCCACTATAGACCTAGGAGGTCCCAGGCAACTCATCAAATCAGTTTAGCTTTTGTTTACCTATATGCAAACTAAGCATAATAACAGTTACCTCTTGAGCATTTTATCTTGCCTTGCAGCATAACCTTTTAGCATTGTAGGTTGCAGGCTCTGTGGATACATACTAAAAAGAAGAACCCTGAGGAAAACAGACAGAAGGTGACAGTGACTGGAATAATAAATTATTCCTTCCCCCCCCCCTTTTTTTTAAAACTTAGTGCAATTTCTCATTTCCTTTCTATGTGAACAAAGCATTTCCATGAAAAGTATGACAGTCTTGACTTAATCATGAGCAGAATCATGCCTGAAATATCTAGAACTTTGATAGCTGGGGAGAACAAGAATGACAAAGAACTTACTATTGTTATTCAGAAACTCGATAACTTCATGAGTCCAGGGAAAATTTCACTGAAGTCAACAGCCAACTTTAAAGTGGGGGAAAATGGAAAAATAATAAATAAATTAAAATACATCCTGACATTCCAGAAAAACATCTTACATTCTAGAAAAAGTTGAAAGGTGTAGGAATAAATCTACTATGTTCTGAGAAATAACATATTTATAGAGAAGAAATATCATAACATTTCATTAAGAATGAACAAGGATATTGGCAGATCCACCTGCTCACTTCATCAAAGTTGTATCTTTCCGATGTCCTATGTTGTGACGGATCATACAGACCTTAGTTCCTAATCATACATAAAGACTGTGCATATAGAGCTATGCTTAGGGTTGAAAATTATTTATATGAGAAATATGAATGTGGAAGAATAATTAGTACAATCACAGTTAAAAAAAAAAAAAAAGCATGGATTTAATGCACCCAAATGTGACAATTAAGGGCTTGAACAAAGCAAAAGTAAGCTTTGCTACTGATTTTCATAGGATAATAATTTCTTGACCTTTTTTCTAGAGTGACTATGATCTAATAGCAAATTCTATTTGAAAAGCTCTCTGCTTGTACAAGATGATCTTTCTTGCTAACTGGACTTCTGAAAAGCAACTGAAAGGTTTTCAGGAGATATTTTACACAGAAACAACAACTTCTTGTTTTCCCTTTACATGGATGATGGCTTATTCCTTGTTGAGACAAGGAGAAACATTAAAATAAGGTATGTGGATAGAAAGGGAATAAGAACAGACAACAATGGAGTACAGAGGAAAACAAACAGATGCAAAACAGTTGCTTTAATGAGAGAAACAAAGCTTTTATATATGTTTCTGTCTACTGGTTTCATCAATACTCATTTGGGAACAGAGCAAAGGGTAGGCAGTATAAAAGCAAAAAATGCCTATTTCCTATACATCTAGTTAGAAACACGCATGAGTTTCAACACAGAGAAATTCAAAGCATTCTGAAGCTCATCTTCATTAGAAATTACAAATTATCAAAGAGCAGTCTAATTTTAAATCATACTTAAAATAATTTCCCCCTAATTTAAAAATTCAAGTAAACCCATACTAATTATGAGAAAATGTAGAGGAAGGGATCCTACTACCATAGAAAAAGCTTTGTTTCATAGCCATTAAATTTATAATGTCGAATTATACGTGCACTGGTAACTTTGATTTGAAATACTTTAGCTTTTTACCTGTAATTTTTTGTTTGAACAGCACAGGGATAATAATGAACAAAATAATTTAGAAATTATGAAAAATAAACCTGGCCAATTTGGGTCTTCCACATTTTGCTCTTAAGATGAATTTTAAATGATATGCTCTTGTCATTCCAGGATGTTTAACTGAATAAGAAGAGAAATAAGCTCTATTATCTCATCAAAATATGTTACTGTTTAGACTTTAGGAGGACTCTTTAGTAGCAAGTATATTTAAGCAACCAGATTGTAGATTATTAATTCAGTAGGAGGGTCAATAGCTTAATAAGGACTGGAGGTGACATAGCATTTTGTGAATTTAATCTGCAATAGGTTTTTGTGAAATTGCCTCAGGGTGAACACAATCAGTTTGGAGCATCTAAGCAACGTTTACTTTGGTACCAAAGCTGACAAACACAGGAAGGAAATTCACCAGTGCTCTCAAACAGAACAGTAACACACAGAACAATAAAGGTAGTATTCTTCAGAGCTGGGTGAAAGAATGACACCAGGTATAAGACATCCACAGAATCTTTTGCATGCATTATCATATACTGCATTCATTTCCATGAACAGAGGTGGAATTTACCACTTCCTAACCCACAAATAAGTGTCCAAAGTTTTATGGAAAGACAGTTATGGAAAGACAGAAAAATAATACTACCTAAATTTAGAATTCAACATAAAACATCAGCCTGTGTATTCTGAGCAAATAGGACAATGTAATATAAAAGTATTCAGACATATTATTTATTAAACTCCTACAATGAGTGTCTCTAAGTCCCTTCTCACAGATAAATTATGTATTACTCAGCACCACTTAAAGAAGCTTCTGAGAGGTCACTTCTCTGAATTTCTTATATCTGATGGGAAGAAATTCACATCAATAGAATGCAAGGAAATATGCACAGCACGGCATAAAGGTGCCTCTTTGCTCATTTGGTGTAGATGGATAATTGGCAAAGATGTCTTGATTGCATTTGAATGCTCTGACTTTTCAAACAGGAAGGAAAATATATTTTACTATATTGGCCCCAGAAAGAATTAATGTTGCAACTTGACCTTTATGTCTACATTGTTCAAATATATTCTAAAGTGTTCTGAATATTGACTTACAGAAACTTAAGATCTTAGATTGTGTAATTAGTTTGGCTTATAGCCGTCAAACCATACCGGAGTTGCTCATCATTAAAGGTGCCACTGAAGAAAGGCATGTCATAGATCTAGTAAGAGAAAAAAATAGTGTTTCTTCATGTGGTTCTTTGATTTTCATCTTGAAAAACAGTTACATTGGCTTTTTTCCTCCTTCAGCACAGAATCAATAAATTGAACAAAGTTGTGAACACTGGCAGAATGACTAATATCAATGCATCTCCTGTGGTGACCCAAGCCAGCCTCATTCCCCAAAATGAATCTCTATGGTTATTTTATAGCCATTAGTACAGCATGTCTTTAATGAGAAATATTTCATAAGCTCTGCCTGTGTTCACAGAGAGATGGCACATTGTTTATCCCAATAATGAAACAATTAGAACGCTTAGCAGGTATAAGAAGGATATGCTCTAAATATCTTCCAAATCTATCATTCTCTGTTGGATTTCTGTAGACTTTCCAATCTGCAGCAAACAATTACAAAAATCTTTTTCTTTAGTTTGTCTTCTCTAAATTCAAATATTCACTTATTTAAGCTAGGATGTAATCCCAGAATAGATTCAGATACTGCTCTCTCCGGAAAAGTTCTAATCAACTCTGCTATGCCCTTTAGAAAGGAAGAGACAGGAGGAAAAACTCTTAAGAATGGCACACTGAAAACCGAGGGTAACAGGCCTTTAACCATAAACCTGATGGAACCGCAGGCAAGTGATGAAATTTGCTTCAAGTCACTCTGTCCATCAGCCAGAGGGACAAAATTAAAGACCGGATTCCAGAGTTTTAAGAGGTCCATTTCTATAACGGACCCTTGACCCAAAACTCATTCATGGATTCAAGGCAGGGGGATATCAGCATAACAAACTAAAATGAAGTACCACTCAGGTAGGGCTGATGAGATGGGAGTCTTCATGAGAAAAAAACAGAACTAAAAGTTCACTGCTATTGGAGTAAACCAAGCATTTAGGGTGAAAGAAACTTTGTGTTTCTTGTGTGTAAGAAACTTTATTCCCAAATGATTTTAAGGATTGGTACAGCATTGTGAATATGATAAGCATGAGTTCGGAATTAAAGTGGTAGTAGCGTTACTAAGATGACACGAAACATTTATCTATGGAGCGCATTCAACCCTGAGCACCTTAAGCCTTAAACATAAGCATTCGACAGCAAACTCGTACTCGCATTAATAAAGTCTCACTGTTTCTGCACTAGCCTTTACAAATCAGGTCCTTTTTGTGGAATGTCCCTGGAACTCTTGCCCAGCCAGCTGCGTCCATTAAAGATGACGTCCATCCCCTTAGACTAGCCATGCAGAAAGGGCATTGGAAAGCTTTGAGTTCGAGTCAACATACCTGCAAGTTGAGTGCCTTCTAAAAATCACTTTTTTTTTTGTTTTGTTTTTCTTTTTCTCCCCCTTTTCTTCCCCTTTTGTACATGCAAACATAGAATCAAAACATAGACAAAAATACGTAAATCATTTTATGTGCAAACCACTTACGTGAGACAACAATTGCATATTAGAGTAGAGCGTTAGATTACACTGTAAACATTCCTTAAGAATGCCTGTAAGAATAAATGAATAGAGCACAAATCAGGAAGTAAGCAACATAAAACACTAAGGAGAAAGATAAATGAAAGAGAATGGTACCTGAAAAATGTAACTGAAGAATAAAATTGTATAGCTCAGAGAAGAAGGTGTAGAACAAGCGTGAAGCATCACCTGAATGCCCAATATAAGAGAAGAACAGATGCAACCTAAGAATAAGTAAGCACAAGAAATGCATTACGCAAAGCATCCTATAAGGATTTTAAGGCAGATAATCTCACTAAAAGTAAACTCTTTCCAAGAATCAGCCCAATGGTGTAAACACATATCTCACGTGAATACAAAAAAAAAAGGAACATAAATCAGAGCTTCTTATTAGAAGAATTTCTGTAAAGTCTAAAATGTCATGCCTCAGGAATATCACAAATGAACAAAGCAGATAAAAGAAAGCAATGGAAATGTGGCAAAGTAGTAAAAATTAGCAATCACAGTCACTGAGCTGTAGACTGGAAACAAGAGAAGAAAATTAAGATAGTGTTTTGAGTATGAAGGGAAGAAGAAATCAGAAACTACTTTTGTAAGGCTGAGGAGAACTAAAGACCTGCAAATTAGACTTTACTGGATAGAAGATTTTTAGATTCTGTTTAAAGTATGAGCAATTTATCTTCTAGTTTATGACCTCCCCACTATCTGAACAGATTTCTAGTTGGTACCCCATATAGGAAATTCCTTCATCACACAAAGTAAGCAGGGTTTTATCTGTACCAAAATACAATGGACTAGCTTCTTGTGTTTGTAACAACTGTAATTGTAACAAATTAAAGTAAACTTAACTAAGGCTGCTATTCCTAAGTGCTTAAGAAGTTTATATTCGTGCCATCCAATCTCTCATTAGCAACATGCAAGGAAAATACCTTAAAAATGACCACTAGCCAAGTAAGGAGAAAGTACCAGGATGAAGTAGAGTTGGTTAATTTACTTTTAGCAGATGCACTTTTAAGAGTTTGCAGGTGGAGGCTAATTGTGTAATTTTCATTGGGTTAAAATCTACATAATATTTAAGATAGATTGCCAGTTAAAATCATTTCTACTTGAAAATAGTTTACCTGCAATTGCTGTAACAAGTACCTAAGACTACTATAAGACATAAAATAAAAATTCTCTTTTTCAGTTTGTTTGACTTCTTTGCATTTGGCAGCACACTATGTATTGACAATGTAACTGCTTCCAATATACACTCAGTTTGTTAGTCAATTCATGTGCTGTTGGCATGGATCTCCCACACAGCAACAGAGAAAAAATTTCAAAACCCCCACAAACATGTGACTGCAAGCTCACAAAAATTGGCAGAATTATGAAGTACAACTAGCATATGAAATAAGTTGGATTTTGTAGGCAAATAGATTTGATTTTTTTTAATTTTGTTTTACAAAACTAATTTTAGAAGCCTTCCATCCTAAGTTTTAAATACCCTTCAGTATGAACCTGTTGGGCTGATTTCCAAGTAAAAAGCACCTTTTCCCTGAAAAATGCTGAATTATGAAAACTGAAACATTTTGTAAACATTTCAAACATATTCGACAAACTTGTGACAAAAAGTAAGCAAGCAGTGGATCCAGCATCCCATTCTCATCATATCAGATCAGTGGAGAACGAAGGGCTCAGCTTAGCAACACCAGTTAGATGACTTTAAGGACTCCAGGGCCTCCAAGCTCTCTTTCTGGAGTGCCCTTGTCCCAGGCCTGGGATTTCAAGTTTTCCCTAAGCCATATCTCAAGAACATACTGTGGACTATGCTAGGACTAGGGACTTAAAAGGTTTCACGTCATAAGGCCTGAAAACTTGACGCTGAAAACCAATGGCAGTCCCAGCTGTAGTGGGGGCTGTATAGTACAGGTAACTTTCTGTCTTCCTGATGAAGAACTAGCTCCCACACTTCAGCGATACTGGACAACCCTTGGACTCCTGTAAGGTTTTGGCGCTTCTTCTCTAATGACTAGAGAAGTAACAGGAAACTGAAACACAGAAATCCTGAGGGCTAACCCAGAGCTAAAATAGCACAAGGTTGGGCTCTCTGACTTCCTTTTTTGTCGCTGATGATACCTAACCTATTCATAAATGTCTCCCATTATGGTAGCTAAAGTTTTCCCCAACACTCTAATCTGTTGCTTTCACTATCATCACAATGTTCTTCACAATATCTAATCTGATTAACTTCTTATTTTATGGACAAGGTGAACAGGTTATTTTCTTCCTCTTTGCAAATGCTTTTCCAAACTAGAAAGTTTGAAATCTGTGTTAAGAGTTGAGGACCAAGCTTCTTCAGCTCATTTAGCAGTGAGTGTTGGTATTCAGGTAGAGTTAATAAAAAACTGAACTAAAAAGTGAAAACTCAGCAAAATGGCTATAAAAAACAAATGGGAAAAAGGCTGGCATGTAACACAGGCTCCTTGACTAAGAGCTTGTTGCCTCTGCACGTTGCTAAGCAGAGAGGATTTTAAAATGAAGTGTTTTTTTTTTTTTTATTTTTTGGAGAAAATGCTAATCTTTTCGTTAAAATACATTAAAACAGTAATTTTGGACCCTAGAACGGGAATTTAGTAAAAATACTTTTTTGTTGGAATTGATTTTCAACAGAACATTTCAGATCAGCTGTATCACAGAGATTCAAAACAGAAGGGTCCTGTCGTATCTTCATCTGCTCCTTAATGGTTTTTTTTTTTTACAGCTTTGTCCAGTAATGTAACAATGAGCTTTAATTTTAGATGAGAACTTCACCATGCGTTTTAAGTACCTGCAGAAATGCCTACTAAAACTTTAGCGACTAGAGCTATTTTTGAAACTAGCTTGGATATTTCAGGTCAGCTCTGCTTACAGCTGTCTACTTAGCTAGTTTTTCATGATGGGAGCCTATAGCACTTCTGTTAGATGACCTGTAGTGATTTATGTTTCACGCAGGGATGCATTGAAAGCATATGTGTTTCAACAGAGAAAGATTTGACTTACTTCAAAAATCTAAACTAAAGCTGAAGTTAGGGATTCAAATAAGATAAAATGATTGGAAGAAAAAAACAAAAAAATCCCTCAGATAAACATTTTGTCCCTGTCTCCTTGCATACAGTTCCCCTGCTGTGGTTTTCAAAATTTGACCACTTAAAAAAATAAATCTTAAAATTAATCATAATTAAAGATATAATTTAGTTGTACTAAATTATATACACAGAATTTGTGCTACACATTTTAATCACAACATTTCTAAGTTTTAAAGTAAGTGCATTGAAAATAAGAAATTTATGTCCATTGTAAAATAAAAAGTAAGACACTGTAACAGCCACATGTATTTGAGGCACTTGTTCTATATACCTAAACAAGGGGTTAAACCCTCTTGGCTTCAGTGCAGAAATAATTTCATCTAGAGGGCAATTCAGTGCATCTAAGTAGTACAGTATGAATGTACTTTATAATCTCCGTTTTCCCTCTTCTGTAACATTTGTAATGAGCTAATGATGCTTCCTTCTTACCGCCCTTGCTAGCTCTGGCCATTTTTAGTAACTTCTATAGTGATTACTACAGTGCACACAGAACATAAGGTTGCCAGCAGTGTGTACAAGAGCTCCCTTGTGCCTTACTTACAATCTTGTCTTGCAAGACCAGAGGAGCCCAAAAACTAGAGAAACCCCAAACAGCTTTATTGTAAATTAACTTTCATTAGTGATAAATGCCTGAAAACTTTAACAGAAATCTTACCAGATATTGTCCCTTGCTACAGAAAGGAGGAGAGAGGCCAATAAATTGTCTTTATATTACTACCCCCCTCCCCCCACCATATCCCCATAACATAACACTAGCATAATCCAGCAAAACATTTTAGGGACACCTTAAACAGGGGGTATGCCACAAGTGAATTCACTCGCTGGGAGGATTTGGAGAATGGATGCCAGGAGAATTTGAGACAGCTGTTAGCTTTACTTTCAGTATTAACCTTTCAACATTTTAAACTGCAAATGTTCTCCTGAATCATCATATGGAAGACCTGTATTTTTAATGACTATTGATAGGTCAGTTTTTATAAGCAGAGAACAAGCTTCTTTTACAAGCCTGAATTCTTCTTACTGCTCTTTATAGGCATTACAGATAAGTTTTAAATGTCATATTTGATTTGTGTTTATTTGAAATGGAAATAAGCAGCCCACACAGGTTTAATAATTTATTTAGTATTCAGTTTGAAACATTAGGGCACACAGTTTAGATGTGAAAATATCCACTTTGGAACTGAACAGTTTAGCAAGTCTTAAAATACAGCTATTCCAATAGGCACGCTAAGGCAAACTTTTTTTCTTTTAGGTTTTACTTGTTAACGGGCAATTCTAAATGTGAGCATGTGTCTGGACACCCTTGAATATTTTTTGCTGTAGCTTTCACACATACATAAAACAAAGGACATGAACAAGTGAACTTTGTTTTTCAGCTGCTGCATAATTTCCCCACAAAAAAACTCAGCATTTCTTCATGCCGCATGTTGCTTTTAATGCTTAAACAAATACACCAGGTCTCCAACTTACCTTCCCAAAGCAAACGCATAGTTTTCTGGATGGATCATCACAGTCAAATTTGGTCCCAATCAGATTCCACTGCCAAACTGCAGAACCTGTAGAAAGAAGTGGAATTACTCTAGTTGCGTCTAGTAATTAGAAAAGAAAACAAGTAGCTATGAGAACATTGCTAGGGAAGGAAATGATTTAACATGGAGAAGAAACTGTCAGAAAGTAGAATGAGAAAAGAGTAAAACCAGAGCAGCATGACAGCAGTGGGGCACACCACCTTCCCAGACGTTGCACTCAGGAGGTGGAGCTGGGGGCACGTCTCCCACAAGAGAGCGTGATGGGAGCTTTCCAGCTAGCACAAAGGTGATGGGGCTGTCTGGGGGAGATTCATCACAGCATACGTGGCTGTAGCATTCACAGCACAACCTGCTGTAAGCTTCGCCACAGTTCAGCAGAAGGGTCAGTCTGAAGAAGCCTTTTGCCCTGCTATTCCACCCTGAGAACAAGGGTTTAGTGCTAAACACTACAAGCCTCAGAAACAGATTCCCATGCCAGGGGAATTTAAATGATCCAGGGGAAAGATGCCAACAGTGCTCTATAAATCACAATACATAGGTAATAAAAAATAATTCAGATCATTCTCTCCCCATTCCCAAACACAGTCATCAAGTAATGAAGTACAGCAACTATTTCCTAAAAATAGATTCTGCTCTTTGTTTTTTGACACGATCGCCTACTGAGTGGATAAAAGGAATGCAATAGATATATCTCGAGTCTAGTAAAATGCTTGACATGATACCCTGCAGAATTGCACTGAACATTATTTCCCAATGACTTGAAAAAGAATATTGTCACGTGGATTGAGAGCTGACAGTAAAACAAAGGTTCAAAGTATTAAATTGGGAGTGTAGGGGGGAATATTTAATAGCATTCTGTGGAGGTTCATTCAGTTAATGTCTTTATTAATAATGTGGATGTGGGAGTAAAAATACATTAATGAAATATGCAGGTGAGAATAAATTAGAACCTGAGGTGAACACTAGAGAGCACAAAGGAATAATACAAATGGGACCAAGTGAGATTAAGGAATCAGGTAGAAAATTACAAAATGAGAATCAAATAGGAAAAATACAAACTAGTATGTTTGAGGAAAATAATGTAAAATACAGATATTCAAAAAGCTTCAAAAGCTGGGATGCAGTGTAATGCTGAAAAAAACACCTCAGAGTAATAGTTTATTGAAAATAGAGTGAAAATGTGCAGTGCATTATGGGCCCGTTCACCTTAGTTCTGTTCCAAGGCTTCCTTCTCAGACAGTGAAGAAACTACAGCAGCTCAGAGTGCTGCTACAGCCACCTGACTGATTGAACTGAGGAACCTCTTTAGAGGTTCAAAAAAAAAAAAAAAAAAAGATTTCATTCTGTCTCAAGAGTAACATGGCTATTAAAAAAAAAAACAAAAGACAAATAAGCAAAAAGCAAAAAAGGAAGACCTATGCCTCAGGACAATCCAAGTACCCACCACAAGTAATCCATGGTATGACATATTTCTGTAGCTGGACTCCTCTGCTTCTGTCCTATGGATGAAGATGGGATTTTATATTATACTGAATACCATGGAGCGTGCATAACTTGATTCAGGTCTCACCTGAGCCTATGTCCTAAGATGCCAGAGATCCATGACTGTTTAGATATTTTTCTTAAGATGAGGAGGAAAAGAGGGAACTCGAGGAAGGTGTTAGAATGTGCCAGTAAAGCCAACTGTGTGCAGGACAAGCTGGAAAAGCCACCTCTTCCTTGGGAAACACAAAGAAGTCAAAGTATCTCATTTCCTGAAGAGTTAACTAACATTAGGGCCTGTAAGGTATTTTAAGAATAGTTGCTTTATTTAACGAGTTTCACTTCTGTCCCCCTCCTATTAAATTGGTGTAAATTCATGTCCTCCCTCCCCCATGAATATTAATATTTCTGAACTACAACTAGATATTTTCCCAAGTATAATCATTAGCACTTGTTAAAGGTCTTCAGACGCTCTGGGCTCTGTCTCGTTGAGATTATTAAATGAATCCTTCACTTACCTTCTGGTTATTTTTCAATTTGTTTGAAGATGGCTGCAATTAAGCCTCTTTCATAGAAGACGAATTCCTCTAATGAGGAGCACTTTGCAGCACAGAGCTCTGAGTTTGCTCTCCATGATCCTGAAACAGCTTGGGTCATGCTGGCTGTCCAGGGGAGAGCTTCTGGTCTGCTTTTTCACAGCCTTCGATGCACTTGCTTCCATGAACTCTTCTGTTTCATTTGACCTTCCTACAGATCTTTCTGGCGCTATCTGACAGTTAGTCACGTCTAAACGTATTTATTTTGGCTGCTCGCTGTAAACCAGACCATAAGATAAGGAGGACAGGAGTGCTTGGTGTATGGCTCATCCACTCTTTCGTGTCAGACAGAGGGCACAGCTAAAACTGGTTTGAAGCCAGCAGGTTCAGACTTGTAGCATACTATTCAACATATTGACCGCCAAAATCATGACACGCTGGTTTAAAAAGTACTGAACCAATCAGGAAATAAAAAGATAACAGTGACAAGGAAACACAGCCGAGACAAAATTAGAGCTTTTTTTTTTTAAGCTTATGTTGGTATTACTTTGTTAGAAGGTTTTCTTCTGTTTGATGTAAATAATTTTCAATAATAAGAAGTGAGACTGTATTTAATTTTTGGTTAACACAGAAAATTTTGACATCTCTTGAGATAACGGGGTTTGAAAAGCAATTTTTCACAGTGTCTGACTTACAATTCATAGCATGAAGGAGTTTAGATGCAGGTGATACACTTGGTCTCTTTGGAAGCTTGAAAACAGATTGTTACTTTGCATAATCAAGTTATTGATATCCAGTAATGAATATCTTCATGTGAATCACAGACAAACATTTCTAAAACAAAACTGTAAATATGCTGAATTGCACGGTTTACTGACACAAATGACTTTGGTTTCCTCTTAAGCGCTATTTCTTCATCTTCCAAACGTGACAAATAAATCATTTAGTCAGTAATGTGATATTCCCAGGCAGATGTCTTGATACCACCACAGTAAGGTAGGCTGGTAGTCAAGGCTGTAAGTACAAACCTACTGTACATTGGTGCTGTGGCTATTACTAAAGCATTTTGAAGTTGTAAATCACTGTTTAAGTGCTAAACGCCTGTTCTTTCTTGAGCTATCTAAGGTACGCTCCCCAATAAAAATGATGAAATTTTATATTCACAAAATTGAAGTTGACTTACATCATAAATTTTGCAAACACAAACACTTCTTTCTTTTACTTATATAGCTACATCTTTTCAGCTCTGTAATCAAAGCTAGCCATTCCCTCTTGACCGTTGTAATATGCAATTATTTCTATAGGATCCATATCATTATTTTTCCATTATTATTTCAGACATTGATCCTTTTTCAGTATCATGACTATGGTAACATATTTCAGATTCTTCAAGTCACAAATAATAGATATCGTCTAAAATGCTCCTTGGTTGATCAGGATTCTCCAAATGGTTCTTCAGCTGCTTTCTAATTCTGTTAATTTTTAAAAATGCATCTGTTTTAGATAGGCCTTACCACTCATATTTTGTATTTTTATAAGGTGACTTGCCACCTGGACTTTTGAGACCCTTATGTTGTTCATTTCTTTTGAGATTGGCACTGCCACCATAAAAGATAATAATGATGAAACAGTCTAAGGATAAAACATGCTTAGAAGGCACTTGGCATATATTATTAAACGAATGGGAAATGATCAGTTAAAGCAGCAGATGATTAGGAAAGAAGGCACATTTTACTTGCAAATAGGGCACAAGTTGGCAAGTAAACTTGAGCAGGTTTTAATACTGTAGAAATGTTATGTTAGTACGTTGTGAATATTTGAAAGATGAGTTTGTGCACCAAAATATTCCTGCTATAAGGAGTATTGGGAGAATATTTCGGTAAGGATGGCATGGAAATACTGGTCTAATAAAGGAGGTACTATGAATTTGTATAAAATGTCACTGAATTAGTGGACATATGATTTCTGCATCTTGTGATGTAAATAAATTTATAAGAAATAATGAAGATGTCACAGGAGTGACATGAAGGGAAAACTCCGTGGAAATCATACTTAAAGTTACACTTAAAGCAATTTTTGAGATCCCACGTTAAATACTTAATATACTTAAGCCCCATATTCTTAGCTTTGTCCCTTGAACCAGAAATCTCTATTTCAGAAGTCACAAAGGCAATTCAGGGTTGGGAAAAGCATCCAACAGTGTTAAAATCGTTGCAGTTTATTTCAGTGCAGGAAGAAATGGAAGGAACCTCAGGTTCTACAAGGGAAGAGAAATGGATTCAAGAGAGAGCAGTAGCAGTAAAAATGCCACAGTTACCTGTCAGTTACCAGCAAATGCCCCTTCAGGTGTGGAAAAAAAAAAAAAGAAGAAGAAGAAGAAGAAGAAGGAACAAAAAGGAATATGTGCAGGAAAGGGCAAAAATGCCCCATGGCAAGAAAGACAAAAGTGGGATTCCAGGAAATATAGTCAAATGTCACAGACAACCTTGATATAAACAAGGAAGTAAATGGAAATCACTGTTCTAAGTTATCTGATGGCTTAACATTAATGCAATAAAGATAAAAAATATATAACGGCAATAAGACAGGAAAATTAACACATTTAATAGTCCATGCCATACAGATTATAGCATTTTTTAAAGTCACCAAGTATGCTCTGCATTGATGAGGCTGCAAAAAAAAACCAGGCTCCTAACTAACAAAAATCGTGTTTAAAGCTGTTGAAGTTGGAAAGGAGAAAAAAGTTTGCTCCAAAAAACCTATGCTTAAACTCACGTGGTCCTGTCCTCTCAAGTCTCATGACTGTGATGGGATGACAGGACTCAAACTTGAATAAAGCATTTGTGTTTCTCTCATTTACCAAAAATTAAAGGAGAACTGGATTGAAAGTCAAAAGGATTCACTGTAAGATTCAAATTCCCTCCTGCAGAGGCCCAGTACCAAACTGCAGGAATTATGCTATTCATCAACACAGGAGGATTTTTTCCCCCTCAGTCCTGTGA